GCACGAATTTTGTGCACTGGAGCTCTAGTAATAAATATTTAAGAAAGGAAGGGAACTATGATAGTGTTGTAGGCAGCATGGGACTTTAGGTCAGTAATGCTGGTTTATCTTATTGAACCAACAGTTTTGAGTTATTTCTTAGTTGCATGATTCCTAATTATAATATTTTCCCCATCATTTCTATAACTTATATAAAATGTTTTTATCTATTTTTAAAATTTAATACATGTTTCAGGTAGAGACCAGTAAATTTCAGTATTCTTATTTGTTAGAGACTTCTGCAAAGGACTACCTTGATCTAAAACTAGTAAGTGTAAGAAGAACGCTTATAATTTTTTAGATAGCAGTAAGACCTTTAGGTAAAGGAAGTTGGGACAGAAGGACAAAAGATACTGAGAGGGATAAGTAGGCCCTTCTATAATGGTATGTTTTGCTTTTGTGTATTTCATCTCATCATTTTTTGGAGTGAGGTGTAGGATTGAAAGCCATCTTTGTGAGACATAACAGGGCCCTGGGCATAATGACTCTAGTATTATGGGTGCTAGCTTTCTCTTTGGCCTACCATGTAATTCTTATAGGAGAACTTAATATTTTTCATACTTAAACACATGCACATACCTTCCTCCCTCCCCCATTGAGAATAATGCCTTTTGCGTGGATTTGAAACAAGAGGGGAAGGAACAATGTATATTCTCTAGCAAATGGAGTCATCAAGGAACAGATACAGCAAGTCAGACAGTTACTGCAGAGAGAGGTAGTGTTTAGAAGAGTACCAAACAAATAAGATAATCATGTCGGACCATACAGATGGATGGGCGGGAAACCAGTTTTTCATCACTTGGGGACCACTGTATTAAGATGAGATGGCTTTGGTTTTTACTAGACAAGTCTCCTTTTTCTTTCTTTCTTGTTGTTGTTTGTTTTTGCCAAGGTGTGATTGAGTAACATATGAGCTTAATTTAAAGGTATAATAGAACAAAATATAAATATTTAATGTAAAGACAGGATAGTCACCTGTTTTATCCTATTTAATAAGGAGGGAATATGCTAATTGACCATCACGCTCTCACAAAAGATGATGGCACCCACAGCCAATAAGGAGGGAATATGCTAATTGACTCACACTATCAATGATTGCGGCGCCCACAACCACAAAATGGTGGTGCCTAGTCCCTTCAGTCCCCCAGCCTCCCAGGGCTGGCCTAAGGTACAGGAGAGCCTCAGATGGCGGCTGCTTAGCCACCCAGGGCTGCCCGAGGCTCAGGTAACCAGAGCTGGCCTAGGTTTGTGCTGTCATCAGTGGCAGCAGCAGAGGTGTGATGGGGGCATTGCCTTCCTGATTGCCAGGTCACTCCCGCCCCTGAGAGCTCCTGGACTGTGAGAGGAGGTAGGAGAGGCTGAGGAACCCCCATACCTTCCTCCAGTGCATGAATTTTCATGCACCGGGCCTCTAGTTTATATGTGAAAGTTATCCCATTATCAAGTACTTTAAGACACTAGGGTACCACTGTTTCCTGTGGTATTACAGCTGCTGTACACACATACATACTTCTATCTCTTATATACTTGAGTGGCCAAAGTATTATGATCTCTGAATGCCTAATAATCTTGCCACTCAGTGTATATCCTATCCTATATAATAAAAGGCTAATATGCCAATTGTCCCTTCAACCAGGAGTTCGATCAGCCAGCAGCCTGGCCAACTGTTCATGTCCCCTCCCCCTGGCCAGGCTGGCCAGTCCCCACCCAGGTACAAATTCATGCACCAGGCTTCTAATACACACCACACATAACACACACACACACACACTCAGTGGCCAAATTATTATATGTTCAGAGATCATAATAATCTGGCCACTGGTATTTGTGAAACTGCAACTTTTTTTTAATCCAATTTAAAAGTAATTTCAGTGCAGTAGAATTAGTATTTGTCTATAAAAGAAGTTATTTTACTTTTAAAATCTTGTTTTAATTTTTTGATTAGGTAATATGATTGCATTATTCAAAAATTTGTTATAGAAAAATAAGCAGTGAAATCTTCTACCTTTTCCCCCTGTCCACCCACTTTTCATTCCCAAGGTATTTTCAGTTATTTTTTTATTTGTTTTTTCCAGAGTTTATAATGCATTTTTAGGCAGATACAAATACATACATTTTTATTTTCCCCTTTTTTTGCACAGAAGTAACATATGGTACATAGTATTTGGTACTTTGCTTTTCTCACTTCCTAATATAACTTGGAGATTTTTTTTCTATTTTAGTATATATGGGACTCCTTTTTTAAAAAAACAAAAAAAAACCCCACAGCTTTACAATGTTTTGTTTTATAGATCTGTAATTTATTGATAGTTCCATATTGGTGAATACTGAGTTTTTCAGTCTTTTACAAGCTATGTTTGTAATAAATAACTTTGTATAATTTTGCATGTGTGCAGTTCACTTATAGAATAAATTCCAAAAAATTACATAGCTGGGTAAAAGTACTATTAAGATGCAAATTTAGTAGATTACTGCTAATATACTCTTCATAAGCTAGCATTTAATATACTTTTGAATTTCTATCAATATGATAGGTAAAAAATGCTATTTGTAAATAGATTTCTCTTATGTCTTGAGGTTGTGATGTTTCCTTCACTTCCCAAAGTTCTATTCTACTTTCCTAGGGGCTGAATTAGAACCTTAGGGAAAAGTGAGTCTGGGTATTGGTGAGGGTTTTTTCCCAAGGGTATGTGCACACACTAAGAATCTTTACTTCGATTCAGTTGCACATGCCAGCTCTTATCCTCAAATGTGTGATGATTTATTAAAACTGTGGGTAAAGTAATTGGCATGTGATTTGACTGAAGATGGTCAGAAGCAGATAATTTTTTATTTTGATTATCAGTGAAAGTCTAAGCAAGAGAGAGGTGATTTGAAGTGAATTTTGGCATACAGACTGGATTTCAGGAGGAGGAAAAGTGGCATGAGCAAAGGAGGAGGAGGGGTAGCAAGATAAAAAGGACAATTTAAAAAAGAATAGTAGAAACAGTTGGGGCCATATAAAAGGAAGTCCTAGGTAGTATGCTAATTTAGGAAATTAGCCATATTCTGTGCACACTGAAAATTATTGGAAGTTTGAGTGCAGGAAAGAGCAATGCTTAAAAAGGGTGAGACTTGCAGTGATGTGTAGGGTGGATCAAAGGGCAGGGATTGGAAACAGAAACCATTTTAAGTTTGTAAGAGCTCTGCCCTGAACAGTTATGCTAACAATTGCAAATAGGGAAAAAAAAAACCTTTTAGGTAAGAGACATACCTTGATGACTATTTGATGTCAGGGAAAGAAGAAGGAGCAGAAAGCTATAGTATGTGGATGGCAAAAGGGAACGTAGAAAGGGCTGGTGTATTTTAGGATTAGGCTACTGGAATTTAAATCTTGAACATACTGAAATTTGAAGGTACCTAGAGTTTTCCCAGATGAGTGTTCATTGGCCAGTTTAAAATGTAGCTTTGGAAAAAGATCTGAGAGAGAGAAGATATATTTCAGTTCTGTGTTGGATTTTTCACCTTATGAGACTATGAAGACCTAGAAATACATGAAAATCTACTCTTCCAAAATCTTGCCTACCCACTAGATTTCCACTATTATAATTTTAATCTTTCTCATCTCTGACCTTATTTGATCTACTTTTTATCCTGTTACTACCACTACCACCCCCATCTGAAAGCAAAAAGTAAAATAAACCTCTTTGTGTTAATTATGTATTTTAAAAATGGGCTTTTTCTTATCCACAAGATAAATTTCAACATTTTTATCTTGCATTTTTCTGAGTTCATTATCTACCAGTGGAGATAAACAGGAGACTGAAGTTCAAGGGCAGGATAATGACTTAAGAGAAAGGGCACTAAACTTATTGTTAGTTTTTGACCATGTAAAAAATAATTTCAGAATTAATGGAGATGGAAGTAATGACATTTTAATATTTGAGTTTGCGAATAGGTAGGCATTCAAAGGATGCAGTGAATGTTTTAAGATCAAGGTCAGATACAGAAAAAAGGACAACTCATTGATCATTGAGATTAAAAACCCAAGGGTTAGATATTTCTTTGTTGTGGAGGGCTGTCCCATGCATTACTGTAGGATATCTAGCAGCATGCCTGTCCTCTATCTGCTAGATGCCAGGAGCCATTTTCCCCATTGTGACAACCAAAATCACCACCACCCATTTGCCCGATGCCCTCTGAGAGTGGAGTAAAGTTGCACCTGGTTGTAAATACAGAAGAAGGCATGGTACTTTGGGGGGCAAGGAGAGGCTTGCTGAAGGAAGAAGATTGTGTGAATGGCCTATATTTTCTTGATAAAGAGGGGAAAGCTATAGTGAATGCTTAAAGGAAGTTGGTTGCTTGAGAATGAAGGAGTTGAACCCACTGCAGGAATTAATTATACAATATCCTTTGAAATAGACAGCATTTTATAGTCAGCCAGGTCAAAAAAGTTTTAACTTTTCTCTCTCCAAAAAAAGAGGCCTTTACTATTTCTTGGTTGTATATTGACAGTGTAATGTAGTGCAGTGAGGATTTATCCTATAATTTTTTGTATGACTTACTAATTATATATTTAGCTATCATAGTTGTTAGGTAAAATATTCTGAATAAATCCATACCTTGGTTTGTAATTGACAATCTGTTAATCTAATGGTACGGAAGGTATCTATAAAAATATGTAACAGGACTAAAAGTATACTGACCTCAAGCATGGCTTGTAGAAATTTTCATTTTCAAAATGTATAAATGCTTTTCTATAGTTTGTTTTTCTTTAAAAATTAGAAAATGTAGGAATTAATAAATTCTCTTATAATTATCAATATTTTTCTTCTCATTGTTTGTGTGATGTTAGGCCAAGTTTTATTAAACATACTGTTGTTTGCTTCTATTGATTATAAATTCTCACCTAATTTCCCAAATACGACAAATGAAAGCCATGAAATTGACAGAATTTTCTACTTTTTACTTCTAACTTTCAGGCTGAAGAACAGTTGAGAATTGTTGAAGAACAAAGAAAGATTCATGAGGAAAGGATGAAATTAGAACAAGAACGACAACGTCAACAAAAAGAAGAACAAAAAATTATCCTGGGCAAGGGGAAGTCCAGGCCTAAACTGTCCTTCTCCTTAAAAACCCAGGATTAAATTGCAAACTCTGAACTTTTTACAAAGAAAAATGGAAAAACTTTGTATTGTAGCTTCATGTTGAAGTGTTTTTTTTTGTTTTGTTTTGTTTTGTTTCATTTTTTTTTTTTTTTTTTTTTTTAATTTGGAAAATCTGGAAAGTTAGCTTGTTCTAATAGGGGCTATGCTCTGCAGTTCCTTTTCTTCCCCCTTAACTTCTAATAAGTGAAATCCTTATCAGATCATTGTTGTCTTCTAAAAAGTGATATATTTTTCACCTGTTTGGATTCTGTGTTAGTGATCTGAAGAAGAGCAGATCACTTTATAAATTATGGATGGTCTGATAAGGTTTTTACTGACTCACAGACTTCAGAGTTATACTCTGTTTACTATATCATAATGCTGGTTTTGCTGACTTTTTGTTTTTTTATATATTTATAAAAAAAGAAAAAGTTGGTAATTGCATTGGAAGCTCCCGGGTGGTGTTGGACCTATATGGTGTATTGTTAAATCAGTGTCCTCATGATACTGTTGCTCTTGATGTTCCTGATACAGGTAAGGAAACAGTTGGTCAGCTCTAACACAAAACATATACAGTTCAGTATTGTCTCTGTTCAGGTTGTTTTTATTTTACTGACAAAATCAAACCAGCATTCCCCATTGTGTAAATAAATGATTTTGCTGAATAAAGGCGTCTTAAATTCATATGTTGAAGCAATTTTTTTTAAAATTGAGTTCTGTTTAAGTCTTAAAGAGGGTGGTTTACTTTTTGATGGTCAGCAATTTAGAAATCCTAGAACTATGCTATATTTCCTTTCATACTTTTAACATAGGATTTATATGTATATTAAATATACTCATGGATTAGTATTTAATGGCTATTTTTACAAATATTTATGCTGATACAGCAATTATGACATCAGTATTACCTTTAAGAAGTACTAAGCACTCAGAAAAAGATTGAAATTCTCAATCCTGTACCTCTATTTTAGGATATAAATATCATCTCAGTAAATGAAATGAAAACTACAGAAAAATGCTCAAATTTATAGAATCTTAGATTATTTTCAAAGTGGGCCATCAGAAAGAACTTAGCTTTATACTTTCACAAAAGGCTAAGGAAGTCAAATCATCTTCACTGTTAGGGTACTTGCACGTTTATTTTGGGGACAAACACATTTTGTTTTTATTTTGTTTTTGCATGTGATGTGGATTACTTACAGAGCAGAATCTGCCTCATTTATCTTTACATATGTTTTTTTAAGTGTACTGGTATTAAAACATTTATTAAAGAAAAGGACATGAATATAAAGATGTTACCTGAGATGCATAAACGAAATCAAAGTAGAGGAAATGTTCTCCAATATTTTGAGACAGTTTTGATCAGTCCTTAAAAATGAAAACATAAGTTAATGAAATGACTAAGTGGTAGATTACTTTGTGTGTGCATGCTAAGAAAAATGCTGTTGCTTTAGTTTGAGCTCTATAAGCCTAATTGTGGTACAGAACAATAAAATCAGTTTACACATCTTTAAAGATAGAATTATAGGCATGAATTTAGTGAGAACTGACTTAATAAACATACTTATTCTAAAACATTCACTTAAAGTATGTAGGTTGCCTACAAGTTACTTTTCAACTTCTAAATATAACTAATTTCATGATTCTTACTCTGTTTTTTTATTTTTTTGTACAGATCCATTGCTCCTAAGTTGTGTATTCAAGTTTTGGGAAATGTTTATTGAAAAATTGTTTTGCAATTTAAGTGTTTTAAACATTGTATCTAAGTAACCCAGACTTAAAATATTTGATACTAGCTTACATGTGCCTTTAATTTAAAAAAAAATATCTTACTGCCACATATGGTGTGAAATCTCAGTAAGTGGGTAGTAACATTTTGCAGTATCTACTTGCTGTTGGAGACTCACATCAGATATTGAAATTGTTTCTGTGCCAGGCTATAGGAAAGAGGATGTAATTGTTAATAAAATACACCCGATTTTTTTCTGTGCTGCAACAATGTGTAGTAATTTGTTTTCTTCATTTGTTTTCACTGCCTTTGTGTATGTATTAAAAAGTTCAGATTCTCAGACTATTAGTAATTTGGATGTTCCCTAATTTATTAAATATGCCTTTATTTACAATTTTTGTTTTTTTAGGTTATTTCTTAGTCCATTATAGAATTAACATGACTTTTTATTACAGTATTTTAAATAAATGGTTATTGCCATTTATATTGTGAAGTTTGCAGAATTAAATCATTTTATAATCTAAACCTTTAGTTTGGTGTGAGGACTGGTTAATGTTTGTAAAGAGGGGAAAGGGTTTATATTAAAGATTTACTGCTCCAGTTTTCCTTATAAAGATGTAACCATTTAGGCCATTTCTGTCTTCCGTTTAATATTGCATGGCCACCAGCAACTTAAGAATTTTCAGTGGTTTTGTACGTTTTTATTTTATGAAGTAAAATAGCATAGGATCTTGACTAATTGAACTCCATACATCATTTGAAATGCTAATTTTATATTAAGGATCCTCCATTTGTTACTTAAAATTTCTTCAAAACTTCACTATTAACAAGAGGTTCTGTTTTCAGTTCTCAATTTTCTGTTTGTTTATACCCAGAAGCATTTGTCTGTTTTATATTATTGGTCGTGAGAAATTTTGAAGATGGGCTATCTTAATTTTTGAGACCTGTCATTCCCTGTGTGTGTGTGTGTGTGTGTGTGTGTGTGTGTGTGTGTGTGTGTGTATTAGTGACTTCAGAGGGTGGGGGGGGAAGAGAAATATTTAGTGATTAGAGAGAATCATTGATTGGCTGCCTCCTGCAGGCAGGAGGATCTAGCTGGGATCTAGCCCACAACCCAGGCATGTGTGTGCCCTTGACTGGAATTGAACCTGGAACCCTTCAGTCCACAGACTAACACTCAACCATTGAGCCAAATTAGCTAGAGCCTTCCAGTATTCCTATAAACACTCATCAAAGTGTTATTATCAGGGTATTAGTGAAAGGACCTGAGAGAACTACTTAAGGTAGAAGAAATAAAAGGCCTCAGCTTAGGAATTGGGAATGCTTATTGAAAGTCCAAGCAGTAGACAACCTAACTTTTAAAAAAATATATTTTATTGATTTTTTACAGAGAGGAAAGGGGAGGGACACAGAGCTAGAAACATCTATGAGAGAGAATCATAGATCAGCTGCCTCCAGCACACTCCCTACCAGGGAGTACATGCCCTTGACCGGAATTGAACCTGGGACCTTTTAATCCGTGGACCGACTATCCACTGAGCCAAACCGGTTTCGGCATGACCTAACTTCATTTGTTGAATTGCCATTAATGGTGGTCTTGATTCCTTTGCTATTACCTTCGTTATTCATGTTGTCGACTCATTTAAAAACAACCGCAAACTGAAATAATAGTCCATAATCTTGGAGTAGCTATTATACTGCACTATACATTTTGTAGCAGATTGCCATTGATTTTCAGATTATTAGATTGCATTGCCTGATTTTATATATTTAGTATCTGCAGTTACTAGAATAACTGATTTGCAGCTGGGAAACACTGGAACAGGATACAGATGACCTACTATCAAAATTGTGTGTGTGGTTGAACATAATTGGAAGTGTTGAAGGTTGTTCTTTTCCTGGGTTTTTAATGATTGATTAGGCATTGGTCACCAACCATTCAGACCTCACGGATGACCGCTGGATTAGAGGATGTTCAAACGGTTGTATTTTTTTTTAATACATATTTTAGTCTTTCTATGCCTAAAAGCCAGTAAGTTGAAAATTACAACTTTACTGATGCAGCAGTTTCACTATCACTCAGGCAAGAGTGAGCCAGTGTGTTTAATAGTGTCAGTATATTTTCTACTGTTTGACTAAACAGGACTTTATTAACAGAATAAAATGGGTTTGTACTTTGTATACACTTGGATAATGATTGCTTCCTTCACTGTAAAGGTTTTCACTATGGATCAAATGACGACAAAGAAAGGAATATTAATTGTAGCTATTTCTAAATGTCTTAATATAAAGTGGGTTAAAGAGGGAGAAAAAATGATTTTATCAACCCATTTTAGGAGACCTTTTATCAAATGACTGCTGTCAGTAATATTCCTTATATGTTTAGAGCATAATTTAACTTTATAATCGGCTATATATATATATCAGATCAGTCCATAAAGTGGGAATGCTATTTAGATAATTTAAATTACAATTGAGTAACAAAATCAGAACTGACAAAATCAGAACTGCACAACTAGTTATCTGTATCTTCAGCAAATTACCAGTTCCACTTGGAATGGTGACTTCAGCTTCGTGCTTCCTCTTAACCAATTCTTCATTTGCAAATAAGGAAATGTGGTTTCTTTCATGCCAGGTGCTCAAGATAGTTGGAGCCATAACTATTATTTCCTCTTGTGCTGCCCCCCCCCCCCCGTTTTTCTTTTTTTTTTTTTTGCATTAATGTAAAAGCAATGTTAAATTGAGCTAGAGATTTAAGTGACTGCTATAGTGGAAAATGGTATTTTTGTTTTGTAAGAAATATGTTGTATGGCCTATAATGTATGATTTGTCACTAAATTTCCAAAAGGGAAAATTTTTCTTTTGATCAAGAACCCACTATAATTAATACTTTCCTACCAAACTCATAAGTAAATTTAAGAAGCTTTAATGTGTGATCTGAATTTTAGGAGCTTTATTGATGGGGCAGGAGTGTATGACAAAGTTGATCTAAGAAAGGGTTTTATTTTTTACTTGTTTCAAAGTTTTCCCCAGTAAAATTGAGCATTTGCAGAGGAGATCTAAAAACATAAGTGACTAGTATGAAATAAATAGCCAGGAAACAAAGGTACAATTTTAGTAGAAATATGGAGCTACATAGAAAGTTCATGGCTTGGACAACATTTAATCACGTACAAAAGTTTCAGTAATTTTTTCAGTAATGTTTAATTTAGATAAGGTTTTTGTTCTTTGTTTTTATGGAAGTTAAGTTAAAGATGTCTTTTGAAGTACTTATTAGAATTGATAGGTTACCATGCAAGGAATATATAAGAAACTTAAGTTCTAAAGATAAGCACATTCTTGGGAATTCCAAGGGGCCGAAACATAACTAGTGAGGGGAATTTACTTGGGCAAAATTGATTGTCCTCTTGTTTTTTTAAAACTTGCATTAAGTATTTGCCACCTCATTTAATGTTCAAATTTATATTTTTGTAATTTAATAAATTACAATTTTTCTTTTTAGAAATTTCTTAACTCTAGAAATAGTTTCAAGTAATTTTTTGTGCTAAAATAAAATTTATTTTTGATGGGTTAATAATGTGCTGATAAATTACAGATTTTCAAAAAAATTTTCTCCAACAATTTAATTGTAAAATGAAGTCCTTTAAATGCAAAGAAGTATTAACTGATGTGATTGGTTCTTCTTGGGTTCCCATACTCAAAAAGTCAGCTTTGTCTTTTATACATATGACTTTTTTTTTTTTTTTGGCCTTGCATGATATGATTGAGGTAATGCTTTTAATTGCTGAAATTACTATCTAAGTAGCAGTGAAACATTAGCATGTTGAAGTTATTGCTGCTGATGCTTTTCACGTAGTATATATAACTAATTATTCATATTTACTGAAAGTTGATAATATTCACTCACTCCAAAGTTACACAACAGGAATCGTGTGTACGATTTTAAGTTTTGCTCAAATAAAAATAGGAAGTGAGTTTATACATACATTTATATTTTTCTCAAGGTAAAATACTGTGGATGTGAGAATATCTGATTTACTAAAAATGGAAGCTATGGCTATTTTCAGACAATGCAAAGTTCCTTTGTTTCCTCTAGTTAACTTGAAGAGAGGATGTAGGAGCTAAGAGGTCACAACTTAAACTTCACAATGTAAGTCTGCTAAATAAAAACATACTAACATACTTCTAATTCTTTTAAAAGATCTTTAAGCTAGTAGCTTTTAAATAAAATTTTAAATTTAAGAACATTTTAAGAAATATTTAAGAAATGTAAGAAATTTTTGAATGCTTTAAGCTTATTAAAAACGACTTATTTTTACCCTTGTGAGTTTATGAATAAATACTGCTTGACTTTTCCTGTGTTTTTTAGCCCTCCTGGAAATCTACCGATGTCCTGGAATCGGTTTTTACCGTCTTTGAATTTTAAAAATTATTTCCTTGAGTTGGAGGATTATTTAAAACTAGCAATTGAGGAATATAAAATTTTCTCGAGTAAAGATCAACTCGTGTATCCTAAATAACATTTTCCATCTTAAACTAGCATTTACTTTTTTTTTTAACACGCCCAGTTAAAATATACATTAATTTATGGCTTAGATCTCACAAAACGAATACTTAATGCATCATCAAATCTTTAAATGTTAAAAACAAGGGTGAAAGCAAACCAGTAAACACGATGTTTCTAACATACATGTTCTGTTTTAAATTTAGCTTAGCGGGTAAGTTGGGTAAAGAAATGCAGCTGTAGGAAGACTGCCCAGGTCTTTGCATTTGAAACATTAAACCCCGGAGGAAACTGGGGTTGGGGGTTTTGAAAGCATGTTGTGGATATACGGCATACCCCACCCCCCAAACGAACCGTACATTTGTACTGTGCCTAATTTCTTCCGTGCTCCTCTGCTCTCCGTCATTTAAGAAAGGTTCTCTTTTGGGCTTTCTCCGCGCGATTAGATGGAGCGGAGCTGTGGGGGCGGGGGTCGCTGTGCCGGTCTGGGTGGGTAGACAGACCATTGTGCTCTCGCACGCGGAGATGGCGAGCTGGCCGCTAGTGGGCGCTGTGGGTCCGTGGAAGCAGTCGGCAGTCGACAGGGTGGCGCTTGTCCAAGTGGTTCTTTGGCAAAGCACTTCGCCAAGAACCCAAGTGAATTCCTGCCGCCTCTCCACTTGGGCGCTATTTGATACCGTCACCCCTGAATTCCCAGCCACCTTGGGGAGGCGTGTGTCCCGGAGGCTGATGAAGGCAAAGTCCCGCGGCCGGCGACACTTTTCCCCAAGAAGTGCTGCCTTCGATGCTGCCTAAGCAAGGCGCGGGGGATTCAGGTCCAGGACGTCCACGCCCTCCCTGTCTGCGGCCCACCGGCGCCGGGTCCCCGGGAATGAATCATTTGGCAACTCGAGGCCCCGTTCGTTGACTTAGGTTGGGGCCCTGCTGACGTTTGGTACCAACATCGGGTCTGAAGCGCATCCCTGAGAGGCCGGGGAGAGGAAGGGATGCGGTGCGGGGTGGGAGTCAGACCCTGCAGAGGGATTCCACTTTTTATTGAAAGAAGGAAGACGCACGGGGAGACGCTCTGTCTTCGATCGTGTCGGCGAAGTTTCGCCCTCTACGCCGTCTCTCTTTCAAAGTTAGGACACTTGCCGGGCCCTGGAGCCGCGACCTGGGGCCTGGGACAGGTGACTCCGTGCATCCCCGCTTCCCGCTCACCCGCCCCAGCCCGCGTCCCCGCCGCGCCTCCCGGGCGCTGCGCGGCCAGCCGGCCGGCTCCTCTCCTCCGCCGACTTCCCGGCGCTCAGCCCGCACCGCCGCCGCCGGGGCCGGAGGGCGGGGCTCACCTGTCAGCCGACGCCCCGCCTGGCGGGGCCCAATGCCGGGCGGGGGGCGGATGATTGACGGGACAACGGCCCAACCAACAGGCGCTGCGTGCGGAGGACCAATGGGCTGCGCCGTGTGGGGCGGGGCCCCGCGTTTATAGTGTCTGACAGCGCGCCGGCCGCGCTGACTCTCCTCGGCGGCGGGGACCGCGGCGCTGTGTCCGGATCTAGTCGCTGCGCGCAGAGCGGGTCCCGGCGCCCTCCCCGCACACAAAGGCCCGCGCGCCTCCAGCGCCCGCGCCTGGGACCGAGCCCCTCCTGCTCGCTCGCTCCGCAGGCTGAGAGCCGCGAGGCGTGGGGAGGCTCCCGCGCTCCGGAGACGTTCCTCGCCGCTCCGCGCTCCGGGACATGGAATCGCGTCGTCGCGGCGCCCGCGCGCTCGGGCCGCTGCCCGTCGTCCTCCTGGATCTATAGTGCGAGCGGCAGCCCCGCTCGCTCGGGACGCAGCACCCGCCACCCGCGCCCGGTCGGACGGCTCTCCGCCTTTGTGTCCCGGCCGCGCGCCCTCCCTCCCCGCCGTCCCGCGCCCGACACCCTGGAGTCGCACGGGAGCCGGCGGTTCGAGCTGGGTCCGGCGCGGCGCCCCGGAGCCCCGAGCCCGCCGCGCCGCCGCGCCCCGCGGGTGCGCTCCAGCCTCTCGCCGTGAGGGCCCCGAGGGGGAGCGCTCCTGGCGCCGGTGACCACCGCTGGAGCTGCTCGGCGCGCCCCAGACCTGCCTGCCGTCTCCCCTTTGCTGCTGCCTTCTGGAGAACCAGGGCTTCCGGCCCGCACCCCGCACCTCCGCCGTCCCGAGTGCGCGGAGGAGCTGGGAGCGGCTTGGCCATGGCCGGGAGGAGGGACTCCTCCGTGTGGAAGTACTGCTGGGGAGTGTTGATGGTTTTATGCAGAAGTGCGATCTCCAGATCGATAGTTTTAGAGCCCATCTATTGGAATTCCTCGAACTCCAAGTAAGTGGCATCCCGCGATCGCCCTCGCCGCCCCGGGTCTGCCGCGCTGCGCCGCGCGGTCCGTGCGACAGAAAGGTCGGGCCGCGGAGCCTCAGAGCCTATTTCTGGAACCTCGGTCTTCCCCTTCCCCGCCATGAGCCCCCAGATTCCCCGTCTCCCCCATCCATGGCACATTGCACTCGCTCGGCTTTCCAGTCGGAGCACCAGAGCTGAGATGCTCCCTCCCCGCCTCCCTTGCTCCCGGGTGTTAAAAAGCTCCGGCGGCTCCGTGCCGCGTCCGCAAAGGTGTCCGATGGCCCCTGGACCCCTTCTTTTCCCGAGGATGGAGAACGGGGCCACCAACCGGGCTGGCAGGCAGGCGCGCCGGGGCTGGCGAGCTTGGAGAGAGGCGGGGATGGATGCTGCGCCCCCAACGAGCGCCCGAGCGCGGGCCCCCCTGGCCGCGGGGCGCACCCCGGAGCGGGGAGCCTGTGGTCCAGAGCCGCCCGGAGCGCCCCGGAGCCTGAGTGCAGGGGGAGCTCGCCGGCTCCGCGGGAGAACTCCGGGGGCGAGCTCCCCGCTCCCCGTCCCAGAGGGGGGCCTCGGGGTTTTCCTGGAGATCCCTGCACGAAGGCCGCTCTCTTCTTTTCTAGACTAGAGGCCAGGAACTCAGCGTGGTCCGGTAGCTGGCTAGATTTTAAGGACGCTTTCCCCAAAAGCTTCATTCAGGCCCTGCCCAGGCGACCTAGCTGAAGCCCAGGCCGGAATGGGATCCTTAGACCCAACTTGCTTTTATTCAACAGCGCGGCCAGGAGAAAGCCAGGCCTTGCGGGAGAGTAACTTTCAGTGGGAGCTACCAGAGTGAGTACATTTAGAATTTAAAGGCGACCCATCGCTACCTCGCAGTTACTCCTCCTCTGGGCGCTCAGGATTGCGTATTACCTCATTCTTGGGATGAATCTCAGCCAAAAAAATATTGTACAGAGAATTGTGGAATCTTAGCCTGGAGAAAACTTGGGGAAACTATGGAGGCATGGGCTGGTTCCTGGAGTCAGTAAGCTTTTTGAGATCAGAAGCAAAAATCAATGGCCTCCTTGAAGTTGAGCGAGTTGGCCATGGATTCAGAAGTATAGAGAAGGAGGGAATGATTTAGAAATCACATCTTAATGAAAGAATGAGAGCCACTCCTTAAAAAGTGGCCCATTTCACATTCACCAATACTATGCTAGCCCAGAATCCCCCAGTGACAAGGGCGAGAAACGTCACAGCACTAAAGCGGATCAAACAAATCCAGGCACCATGCTAGACTGCTAGCTGGCCCTTCACAGCCCTGCACACATTTAAAAGTTACTTCATGCAACCTCCTTCCATTGAGCCTCATCTTAACATGGGCGTCTTTTGGCTGTTGTTCCTTAATGGAAGATGCCGTATTTGCTGAGAAATGAGTGGCAGTAACATCTTTACAGAAGGGTGAGGCACCAGGTGGTGCCAGAAAGCGCCGGGCTCAGACCAGCTCCCAGCCGCGGGTGTCCCCTGGCCAGGCGGGCGGGGAGCCGGGTGAGGCCGCCAGTGCTCGCTTTGTGCCTACAGAGGTCACTCTTCCATGCGCAATGCTCACGGCGCCAGCCTTCCCTCTTCCCCCAGGCTGCCTGCCCGCTCCACTTTGCACTTTCACTGGTGTACAATCTTTGGGGGTTGATTCTCCCCCCCCCCCCCATTGGGATTTCATATTTGTACTTAAATCTAGTTTAGAGAAATCCCCATTGACTCCTCCAGTGTTCAGCTCTTTATATATCTTTGCATTATTAGCTACTAGTTGGTGTCTATCTGGGAGGAGCATTAGAAATACCTACTTGGAAAAAAAAAACCCGTAGAGCAATAATTATTTCAATGTAAGGTTTAAACATGAATATTTCTTTTCCTAATGTGTGCGGGGGTGGGGGGGGGCGTGGAGTGGAGGGGTTGTGACTGGTATTTACTTACTGTCCTGATGATTTCTGGTGATTCTTAGCAATAGTCTACTTTTCCTAGCTGTGGTCTCGGATTTAGAGACTTACTGGAGGCCTGCAGTTTAGAGAAAGAAGCCAGCCTCCTTGCACTGCTGATGTTGCTGTTGGCTTGATTGCTTCAAGTCCTCAAGAGTAGAATTTCTTTTATCATTCTCACGATAATGGCTTGCCTGGAGGACTGGCAAAGGTCTACTTGAAGTATGTAGCTCAATGCTAGGATGAAAGATCAGAAAGATTTCTTCCTGGAGGAATGAATAAAAAACCCCTCATGGTGCAGGTTCATTTTAGTTGGGGAAGTTTTGCATATTTATTTCCAGAGAAAAGTTGGTGGGTCAGTAGGATGTGGCAAGCAGGTAATCAAGTGCATTGAAGTTTCATATCAGTTCATCGGAACTGGGGAGCAACTCATTTGTCAAGAAGCAGCCATCAGGGATTAGGTTTGTTTCATTCAGGGGTCAGTTTTTTTTAGCAGGTGGTGGACACAGGGAGCATGCAGCAGCTGTTTGGATACAGAGTCCAGGAAACCCTTTGTAAATTCACTGTCTCCATAACTACTTGCATCACACTGTCTGCTGCTCCCATCCTTGAGAGTGTACGCAGTAATTAAAAGAAGTTCTACATACTGAAACACTAGCCCTTATGATTATTAACATTGCATCCGTGTGCTCTGCTTGAGTTGGATCAGCTGTAGACATGTAGGTTGTTTAAGCAGTGTGTGTGTGTGTGTGTGTGTGTGTGTGTGTGTGTGTTAACCTCGGGAGAGAATAGCAGCAAAACCTGGCTTTTTCATTCATTTCTAGTTAATATTTCTAGGACAATTTTTCCCAAACATGATGTTCTTGCCAAAATAAAATAGTTGTTTCTTTTCTTTTCTTTTTTTTAAAATATTGATTTCAATTGAGAGGAAGCAAGTCTGTATTGGTATGGTATTCTAGAATGAATTACACCAACTTTGTTGAAAATTTCAGTTGAGCATTAATTTCTCATGTCTAGGGGTGCTCTATCCTATGCACCACATACTATTATAGTAAGTTAACAAAGCATTTTGCTTTTCCCATGCCATTTTTTTTCTTACATAATACTAAATTCCTGATACTGATTGACCTGATAGAAAAGAATGGCCGGATAATATCCAGATAACCTATAATACATGGGCTCCATCACAGTCAGGCTCCGAATAAATACGGACCTGTCAGGGATTGATAAAATAAACTACAATGGATAGTGCTGTTTAAACAGCCCATTCAATCCCATATATAAGCCAGCCTGCCCTCCATTGTGCCCGAAATTCTTATTTTTGTAGATAAACAAATGCACATTCAGCACTGATTGAATAGCCCCTTGAACTATGCTCCGCAGTTTGCGTTTGGGTTAATCTTGTCGGTTTTAATATAGAGAGAAAAAAGAGCACAAAGCGCCAGGGGTGGAATTGTGAGTGCTTTCACATCCACATTCCTCACGTTTTGTCAGGATGATAAACTGTAGGTAATGGACTGTCCTCTCGTTCCGCCGGACAACTGAGCCAGAGAGAGCACAAAGACAGAGCTAAAGCACTATCTCACAACATGTTTGGTAGCCTTCTTTCAGACGAGGGGAGAATTTATTTGGGAATCCTGTGTCTGGGGACTGCACTTTCTAACCTCAGCAATTACAGCTTCAAGCCTCCGAAATGGGAGCTGGGGGTTAAGATGATTTGTTAAGCACTTGGTTCTAAATCTTCCACAAAGCAGAGCTGTTGACACTTGTCCAGCGAATGCAAAGAAATGCAAATGACTTCCACGTCCCTAAATGTTTCTGACTCCAGGGCTGAAGGATGAGAACAGGTGAATAAGACATCTTTCCCAGGTCAGCTAAAAAATAAAAATGAAAAATGAAAATAAATGAACAAAAAAAAAAATACTACAGGTTGGTATGGCTTCTCCACATGGAGTCAGCTGAAGAAGAATCATAATGGGTGTGTTTCAATTAATTCCCATAACACCTCTCCTCTGTGAAGTTACTGAGATCTATCCTTTAGTTGGTGGCTCACCATCGTAATTTCCTTCAAATGGAGCAACTAAATCTTTGCTGCCTTGCCTTCCGCTGAAATGCTCCAGGTAGCTCCCAGGAGGCTGATTCTGTACATCTGTCTACCTGAGAGCAGCATTTCCCAGCGTGCTCTTCTGAGAGGAAAGGATCTGAGACCCCAAATCCTGACTGCAGGGACGCGTCACAGGAATGGGAGTGGCGGGGGGGAGGGAGACACTGTAGACCCTCACCAAAAAGGAGAAAAAAAAAATTCTTAAAGAGGGCTATTTCCTTAGCACTTGATGAAAACTTTATTCTTTAACTCTCCCCTTGCAAATGAGACAGAAAAGGAAGCGCTGTTCTTTAAGAGGTAATGATGAAAATGGTATCCTGCCTGCCTAATCTCTGCCTTCATTTGCTGCTGACATAAAGAGCCTGTTTTTCAGGTCACTTATCATACATCTACATAGATTTGCTTATGAGCTCACCCTTTGTGTGGAGGAGCGGAGCCTTAAATAGGAGTGTTCGACTGTTTAAAATATTTTGATTAAAATATGTAGGACCCATAGAACGATAAGCTTCTAGTTAGGAGTTGGGTCTTTCAGGGAAGGGCCCCCCTCCCTCCACCTTTTTTTTTTTTTTTTTTTTTTTTTTTTTAAGGGGAGGAATTAGAATGGGGCTGGGAGAGGACTATAAGAAAAGCAAGGAAGGAAGGATAGCGAATGGGACAGTGTTCGGAACAGCTTGGAAAAACTCCTGTGGCTTCATTGTCTCTCTGAAGCCAAATAATACAAAGACATCAGCAATTCAGCCCTTCTCCCATGATGGAAAATGTAAACCGTTGACACGGCTCCCCTGTTTAACTTGTTTAATTCTCATTTTAAATTCAGTGCTATACGAGCCGTGTGAACTCTGAAGGTTTCTTTAGTAATCCATTTTGTAGTTCCGAATCAAAAACAAAGTGAAAGGGTCTGACACAATTTGCTTTTATTTTTAGGCAAATCA